AGATCACAGCCAAGAGGTGCTCAGCAGTGGTCAGGGCCGAGCAAGGCCGGAGCTCACACATGGCGGGCACTCCAACCTCTAGGAGCTTCTGGGACCTGCCCAGTTCCTCCTGTCCCAACATTCCTGAGACTAAGCCACCTCCAATGTGACAATAGTCAAGGAGCCTGATAAAATTATCAGAGAAAATATCTCTTCCTCAAGTCTGTTCTGTAAGAGGCAGCCTCTGAATAAACAACATAAAAAGGACCAAGCAAACCAAGGCAACGCTCTTTGTCAAAAATAAATCCACGAGACAGAACAAAGTAATAGCTCTGATGGGTCTTAGAAATGAGACGGCAATCAAGTCACCTAAATGGCATACTTAGAATCCCAGCAAACCCGCCTGTCTGAATTACAAGTGGGATAAATGATTTGCTAGAGAGAAAAAAACGCTATTTTTAGTAAGGAGACGGTCACAGACTCCCATGCCTACTAAGTCCCTGACCTTCAGAGTGACATTGTCTTTCAGGATCTCCTAAGCTTGACCATGAGTCCGGATGGAATGATCAAAAATAATCAACAATGCTACAATTAAAAACAAAAATACATCTCCAGGTCCCTCTAACGAGCATCCAGCCAGGGTGTCTGAAGCAGAATTGGCATTGAATATATGTGGGGGTCGGGGGGTGGGGGCGGAAGCTGGGAGGGTGGGGGGAGGAAGACAAGCCAGGCGCTCAGGTCATGCTTGATAATCAGTGCGAAACACTCTTCAGGGGAAACAGAATGGGCTCCCAAGGGGGAATAAGAACAAAATTCCAGAGCAACTAAGTGATTTACAAGAAAAACAGACGGGAGAATGAATACTTTCTTTGTTAAAGCATTGATTACTCTGGTCAGAAGATTCTAGAAGACAGTCTTCTTGCAAATTAAGCATCTAGGTGCTGATGACACAACCCAAATCCTTTCACTCGATGCTACATTTCCATGGTTTGGAAGGAGACTGCCTTTTAGCTAGGAGCACTTTGAGAATCACGTGCTCATGCCACTTAATATAGTACGAGACATTAATGAGTCTCTGCCAGGAACTACCCCTCCCCTCCAGTCCGCCCCACCGTCTGTTTCCCTCCCTCCTCCTTCTTGGACAGGGTGGCAAATTTTAATCCGTCCCCCTTGGCATGCTGATTTGGAAAGTAACCTAAAAGGAAGGATCATCTCTGAACGGCTGCACGAAAGTCAGTGAGCCAAGCCGCACCCCCCTGGCACCCACAAATGCATAAGCGAGGCCCAGTTCGCAGCCAGATGTGAGGCCAGCCCTGCCCTTAGGAAGTGAAGGCCTGGCCTGCACCAGGGCACTCAGCCCGGAAGAAGCACCATTTCAAGCCGGATGTAGGGCCCTCTCAGCTTAGAACACCCACCCAGCTCGCCAAGTACGCTGAGTCACACACAAGGAGCTCTCCCCTCAGGCCTGCAGGACAGGCCCCTCGGGAAGAGGCCGTGCTCTGTTTCTACGTCTATCTTGGGTCCCTCTCTAGACACCAGCAGACGCCAGGCCCCAGTTCCAGGGACTCAGGGACCACATTTCACTCCCAAGGTCTCTCATTTTCAGTTGCTGCCTGCAGTGAATGCTCTTGGGATAGACTCAAAGTCTTCCGAGTCACCTCGGAAGCTTCTCTTTAGTATCTGCTCATCTCCCCGTAAAGCCAACCAGTCTCAGAGGCAACACCGGAGTGAGAACGCATGGAACATTCTGGTATCTCAAGGAGGTGGTTTTTGGTCTCCCCAGCTGAGAGCTGAGGAAGCTGAGACTCAGAGAATATTTGTGAAACATAATGTGCTTGAGATTAAACACTGCAGAAGCTCGAGTCCTGTCACTTACGAGACGTGTGACTATGGCGAACACGCTTCGCCTAGCTGAGCATCAAGCTTCTTCAGGTGTCAAATCCTGAAAATAAGATGCCCAGCCCAAGAGGCTCGCCTAAGGACTAAATGAACTAAGGGGTACAGAAGAGCCTGTGTGTTTTTAATTGCTACACAAATACAAGGTTTTCTATACATATATAAGGCGCTAGAGCTTCTCAGCATCTCAGTGCTGCAAATCCATAGGAATTACTCCCCAGGGGGGAAAGTGAGCAGGGGAAGCAGTGCATCCGGCATCTCAAAACAGAAAAAGGTTGCTGTGCATGGAATCCAGTCTGAGGGATTCCCAAGTAGCCCTGTTACATCAGCATAAGAAGAAAGCAAAGAAAGTAAAAATAAAACTCTGCTATAAGCTAATGAGAGGCCAGTCTGCTCGGGTGGTGCATTTGGCATAACTGGATCTTCCAAAGATCTCCACCCCAGATTTGGCACCAGATGCTCACATGAAGGTGGACCCCTCTCACTCTCCCTCTATCTGGACATTTCTGCAGCCCCTGGATTTAATGAGCAGCTGGAATGATTAGATACTCCCTCCCCTCCCACTCAATCAATCAATCAATCAATCAATCAGTCAATCAATAACAAACCAAACCCAGAGCCCTGGGGAATCAGCTAAAATTTTGCCCTCCCCTTCAACATCTACATTACACCCATCCTCTGCACACATACACAGTCTATACCCATCAGTTATCCAGTTCTGTGGGCTCCCCCTGCATAGCGCCTCCCTCCCCAGGTCCCTAACCTAAGTCACACATCTTCTCCTACAATAGGCTCCCTGGACTGTCCCCTCTAAGCTATTCTCCATTTGCATCCAGAGTCGCCACTTAAAACACGCATCTGCCCAAATGAAAACCCTGGGTCTCTAGTGTCTACTGTGGAGCCTGACATCCACAGTGTCAGGTTGTGACCTAGCCCCTCCCCCCATCCTAAGACCTCACTTAACCAGAGTCACACAGCGGCACAGCCCAGATTAAACCCTGCTCTCACGCCAGGGACCAGGGTCTTAACCAGTGAGCTCCATGGCCCCATTGCTCTATGCTATTTCGAGCCTCCTGTTTCCATGTCTTTCTCCCTCACAGGCTGCCTCTGATGGCAGTTGACCGTGTCTGGTTCTTCGCCTCAAGGATGGTTTACACTGAGATGCCTTCGGGATTCTGTTCCCACTGAGGATGGTCTAGGTAATTTGGACAGACTATCCCACTGGGAACAGGTAGAAAAGCTGGACAAAACCAAAATCAGTCCGAGAGTATCTGAGAGCTAACAAGGCGGTGAAGAAATACGAGGTCGTGATCTAGGAGGAGAAGGAAGCCCAGGGAGGGCGGTCCACATGTGGGGCCGCTCAGGCCGGAGGCCGATAAACTCGGCAGAATTTTCAACAGACCTGTAGAACTGGAGGGATGAAAACTCAAGCCTAAAGACTCTAAGGACAGGTTACCCTGACAAAATCCCCTGGTCTTCTGGTCGGCACAAGTACCTTAGGACTAAAGGTATATCAATAGACTAGCCCTTAAAGGAATTGGAGGCCTGCTTTGAAAGATTCCAACCTCTGATTAGACTGAGGTAATCCATAATTACATCCCTTGCTGCCTGGAAAATTACATCATCCTAGTCCTTACTTGTCTTCTCAATTTTTATGTACAATGTCTGGCACACAATCAAAACTACCCAGGCATCCGAGAAACTAAAAAAATAAAATCACAAACTAAGAGGAACAATAGATATGAGGCACAGAACAGGGGTAAAGATAATGAAGTTTTCAGACAGAGACCTTAAAGTAATTATGCTTAATCTGTTTGAGGAAATAAGACTGAAAATTTTAACAGATAAACAGAAATTTAGAAAAAAGGAAACATAAGAAGTCATCTGTGCGTATCTGTGGAGAGGGAACAAGAAAAGTCCAGGTCGAGGAATCTGACCGAGGGATGGTCAGCTAGTAGACTGCGGCCCATGTGCCGGCCGGAAGACGTGGGCAGTGCCACATCCTGACTGAGCGTGGACCCTACAGCCAGAGGCCTGGGTTTGAAGCCTGGCTCTCTCACTTATGAGCATGCCCTGGGGCAAGCGCCCTAACCTCTCAAATCCTCATCCGTGAGATGGTAGAAACAGTAAGACCTGCTTCACAGGGTTGTTGAGAGGATTTGAGTTAGTATTTGTTAGGTTCGTAGAACCGTGTCTGGCTGTACGTTCTTTCTACTGTACTAGGCGGTACATTATAAGTGTCTGTCAAATAACTAACAAGAACTGGATTCAGTTCGGCACGCAACCACATCATGCGGTCTGGCCTCTCTCCCCAGCGGCCTCTTCCTCTGCTTTACTGTATTCAGCACCCCACTCCACACACCCATCGCGCTGAGCTACCGACACTTCACCAACGTATCTTGCTCATTTCCTATCCTGGCATCTGCCCTTTCTTCCAACCGAAAAGCCTTTTCTCCCTTAATCTGCTTGTAAAGCTTCTATCCACGCTTCCAGAATTACTTAAAATATCACCTCCTTTGAGAAGCATTTCTAGGACCCTCTCAGAGGTAATTACTGCTCCTGGGCTCAGCCAGTCCCGATCTTCCCATGAGCGTGGTGCTCATCGAAATTGTACGTTCACTGCCATTTATGTGTTTGTCTTCATGTAGGTCAGATTGTCGCATAGCAAGAACCATGTCTTAGTCATCTCTTTCCCCAAGTACCAAGCATAGTGTTTAGTGCATAGCAGTTGTTTGATTATGACTACTGAGTGACAAATTAATAACTGAATGACTGAATTCATGAATGAATGAAATATCTTGTATTCGCTCTCACGCCACTATAGTTGAAACATCCATCACATCCACAGAAGTACAATGCGAATTAGAATCTTACTCTTCCAAGGCTTGCAGCATGCTCCCAGGGTCCTCTGAAGACAGAATGTCTATCATTTGGTCATTCAAAGCAAGATCCTCATTCACGCCATTGGCGGAGGTGAACTGGGGGTGCTCCAGCTTGCTCTCGTGATGCTGAACCTCGGGAGAATTTCAGAAACAATTGCGTAAGCTTTCTTGTGAATGTCACATGCTGGAAAAGTTACGAGGGAAGGCAGGGATCTCTTGTCACAGAACCTGGCTGGCCCTACCACTTGTGAGCAGGGTAAACTCAGGCAAGACATTGCACTTCCCCGAGCCTCTTTCTCATTAAAAGGGGGGATCATAATTATAGTAACCCTGCACAGAGCTGTGTGGATAAAGCAATGCGCAGAAAGACCACTGCAACCTGTGAAGACCTATATAAATATTTCATCATTACCACCATCATCACCATCACCATCATCAATCACCATCATAATCACCACCATCATATCACCACCACCACTATCATCACCACCATCATCATCATCACCACCATCACCACCATCATCACCACCATCACCACCACCACCATCATCATCATTATGTAGAGGAAAATTACAGTTGGCAGATGGATTCAATATCATGGATCTGGCTAGTTTCTAATCAGAATACAGAACTGTAAGATGGAAGTGACATCAGCGATAACTGAGCCCAACCCTCTGACTGGATAGACGATATATCTATTTTGTCCGTGATATTAATTCTGCAGAAATGGGTGATAACTATAGCTAACATTTAAGAATTCCTGACCCTGTGCCTCATATGTGTTATATCATGAAACTGTCACAACAGTATGAGTTGCTGCCTTCATTTTGCATATGGAAACTGCAGCTCAGAGAGGTGAAGTAACATTACCTAAGTTCACGCAGCTCATAAAAATCCAGGCGGGTATTTGATCCTAAGTCAATCTAACCCCAAACGCTGCCTTCTGTTTTAAGCACGTTGTCTCACTGGTTGCCACCATGCCGGCAAAAATAAAGAAATATGTGACAGAGTTCATTCTGTGATGCAGGAAAAAATAAATACTGCCAAGTGTCCTCAGATCTTAACTTAAATTCAAACTTTGCTTTTCTCTCCGCAGCTGTAACGATCAGCCTTTACTCTCCAGGAAAAGAATCCTGAAACATCAAAGTGAAGGTGAGTTTTGTTCTTCTGTGACTGATCACAGCTTTGGAAGAGTAAGTAGAATGTCTGATTAGATGGCCATTTTCTTTCTCTTTTGCTGGCCAAGGAGACTGTGGGCTGACTTCGCATTGAAATGACAATTCTCTCCTCTAGGAAGCAGAAACAAAATGAACAATAGGACAGGTCTTTGAGCCTCCAGAGAGAAGGGCCCCCAAGCAGCCAGGTCCCAGCCTAAGTTCGGCCATTTGAAGCAGGTTGTTTTATTTCATGGGTGTTAGTTTCCACCATCACCACCACCTGAGACCAGGATCCAAATGCAAGTAGTTTATTTGGGATGTGACCCCAGGAAATATAACGGTAGGCGCGTGAGGCAGTGAGGCAGGATGGGAAGGCAGCCAATCAGGTTCCCACTGTGGGTACCTGGAGCTGTATCCTACTCGCAACTCTGGGGACAGTGCAGGCCTAGAATTACAATCATCCACCTGAGCGGAGAAGGCGCTGGAGTCCTTATATACTCGCATATATTGAGGATGATATCGTTAGCCAAGGTGTGGGGAATAAGGGAGAAACAACAAGGTCAAGTGGAAAACTTATGAGTTCAGTTTTAGGCTCTTGAATGTGAGATGCTGTTAAGAGATCCTTAGGGGGATGTAACTGGTAATTGGAAACATGGATCAGAAGACCAGCGGAGAAGTTAACATTCAGCAACACAGATGAGAGAGTCCTCTGAGTCAAGGTGTTGTGTGAATTGCAGAGACGCACGCGATCAGTGAGGGAGAGAAGACACAGGACAGAACTCAGAAAGCTGCTCGACGGGGGCTGAGGAGGGCAGTCAGAAGTGTGGGGCAACGTACGGACAAGGAGAAAGACGGCCGATGTTCCTTCAGGTCGCTGGACCTCGGGGTGACGCTGAGTCACAGCAGCGCCTGCCCTCCATGGCCCTGAAGAATGCAGGGCCTTCTGGCAGGTTCCACAGAGCTCCTGTCACCCAGTGATCTGCCGTCCTGCTTTCCCTCCTCTGTCTGTCTGTCCCTCCACTGATTGGCCGAGGCTTCGTTCCCACCTCCCCACATTCACTGAGAGCCGTCTAAGCACCAGACTCCATACCGGGCAACGGGGATTGCAGCAGACACCACCCATTTTCTGCCCAAGGCCCCTCACTCTGGCCACTTCAGTATCCACCAGCCCGAAATCCACCAGCCAATACCAACACTTCCTGCCCTGAAGGCTTTTGGGGGCCCTCAGAGCCCATGCCAGGGAAATGTGATCCTTCATCTTGGCCCCCTTGTCCCCTTGTCCTCAACCAATGACCAATGGGACTTGGGGGATAAACACCCCAGCTCCTTCTCTGCTCAGGTGGATCAATGTGACGCTAGGTCTACACTGTCCCAGAGTTCCGAGCAGGATGAAGTTCCGGGTACCCACAGTGGGAACCTGATTGGCTGCCTTCCCATCCTGCCTCACTTCCCCACTCGCCTACCGTTATTTCTTGGGGTGACTGTTCAAATAAACTACTTGCATTTGGATCCTGGTCTCAGGATGCTTCTGGGGGAACCCAGACCAAGACAGGAACACAGAGATTGAGGAGTTCACAGAGGGGCCCAACAGATTAGGGTAAGCGCTGAGTGGGGCCTACAGAGCTAGTGTGGGAGCTCAGAGGGAGCCCTTAACTCGGCCAGGAAGTGGCCAGTGATGACTTCCAGGGAGAGGCAAGGCCCGAGCTGAGTCTTAAAGACAGGTCAGAATTATGCTCATTGAAGAGTGGAGAGGGGACTGAAGCATCCAGGGAGGGTGACGAGAGCTTGGCGCTGTCAGGGAATGCCAATCATTGGGACTGCCATGCTGCAGTGTGAGGCGGAAAGTGGCAGGAGAGGTGGGCAGCAGCGGGACCACCAGGGCTTTACAAGCCACAGGAAGGAGTCCCAGCTTCCGCCTGAGGAGAGAGTGAGTCTGCCAAGACTTTTCAGCAGAACCTGAGTTAGGGTGTGGCAAGGCTATAAAGCTGGCCCTACAGGGGGGCGCTGTTATTCAGCTACACCGCAGGGGTTCTCCACCCTGGCCATTTGCTAGAATCATCCAGGGAGCTTTGAAAAATGACTGACAGTGGGAGGCAGCCCAGGACAGTCTGACCAGAGTCTGCAGGTGGGCAGGACGTGAGCACTTGTCCATGTTGATCCAGGGTCGAGACCCACTGACCTGGAGGACAGACTGCCAACTCACACCTACCCCCCAACCAAACGACCCTCCAGGAAGACAATGCACAGGGACCCACCTGATGTCCGGTGAGCACACTTCCCTTCAAACACTGATAACGAACCATGAAGAACAGCGCGAGCCAGGTCAGCCCGAGGGAGACGATGAAGGCCACGAAGAAGCCCGCCGTGTGAAGGCCATGGTTTGGTAGAACCTACAGGGACGAGAGAGAGGATTCGCCTGTGGTCACACGTCCCAACTTTCAAGTCGAGTTATAACTTCCAGCACAATAAGGATGGAGTGAGGGAGCTACCTGGGTTTGGACCCAGCTCTGCCACCTATTAGCTGGTTCCCTGGAGTGTAGCCCAATTTATCTATTTTTTCTCTTGTTGCCTGTGCATCTGGTGTCATATCCAAGAAATCATTGCCAAATCTAATGTCATGAAGCTTCTCCCCTATGTTTTCTTTTAAGAGTTTTAGGTCTTACATTTAAGGCTTTGATCCATTTTGAGTTAATTTTTGTACATAATGTAAGACAAGGGCCCCACTCCAGGCTTTTGCGTGTGAATACCCAGTTTCCCCAACACCATTTGTTGAAATGACTTTCCTTTCCCCACTGAATGGTCTTGGACCCTTGCGGAAAATCATTTGACTTGACACGTGAGGGTTCTTGTCCTGGGCTCTCTATTCCATCCCATTGGTCTGTCTGTCCTTAGGTCAGCACCACACTGTTTTGCTTACAGTAGCTTTGTGGTACATTTGAAATCAGGAAGTGTGAGACCTCCACCTTTGTTCTTTTTCAAGATTGTTTTGTCTATTCAGGTTCCCTGGATAGTCATATGAATTTTAGGATGGGTTTTTCTATTTCTAAAAAAACCCAAAAAACTTGCCACTGGGATTTTGACAGAAATTGCATGAATCTGTAGATCATAACAATATAAAGTATTCCAGTCCGTGTACACAGATGACTTTCCATGCATTTGTCTTCTTTAATTTCTCTCGGCAGGCCTTACCAGTCTTTCTCCTCGTAGTTAAGTTTATTCCTAAGTATTTTATTCTCTTTGATGCTATAGTCAATGAAATTGATTTCTTAATTTCCTTTTTGGATTGTTCATTATTCAGTATAGAAATGCTACTGATTTTTGTGTGTTGAATTTTTAATAATATCAAAAATGCTTATATCGTAATGTAGCATTTTAAAAGATACAAAGCTATATACACAGTAAAATCCCAATTTCATAAAAATAATATCTATGCACACATATACATATGTAACCTATGAAGAGAGCCCTCCAGAATTGTGTTGAGTGTGATGACTTGATGAGTTTTTGTCCTAATGCTTCTGAGCTTCCTAACACAGTGGGCATGTATTACTTGTATAATCAGGAGACAAAAAAAGAGATAATAGATATTCCTTTAAAGGTAAATTTGGTAGACAAGGAGATGCACCTCCCAGCCCTCCCTTCAAGGAAGGACTTGATCGATGCCCAACTCTGCACAGAGTGGTCAGTACACCTACACTTCATGATCTAGGTCAGCTGCAGAGAGCCACCTCGCCTGAGACCACATCCTTGCTGGGACAGCCTACATCTGGTCACAAAGCACAGCAGGGGCATAATGGCCCACCGTTTCAGCCTGATGAGGGAAGCTCCGACAGGCCAAGCTTCCTTCGCAGCTCCCTGCCAGGTGGGGTTTTGTCAGCACAGGTGGTCACTGACTGTACAAGGTGGGGAGCCCCACTACCACCCCCAGGTTAGATAATTCACTAGGAGGAATCACAAGACTCGGCATATAATTGTACACACAGCTATGATTTATTACAGCGAGAAGATACAAAGCAGAATCGGCACAGGGAAAAGGCACATGGGGCAAAGTCCAGTGGAAACCAGGATCCAGCTTCTAGAATTTTCTCCCAGTGCAGCCACACAGGGCACGCTTCATTACTCCAACAATGAATGTGACAACTCATGTGACACGCTGTCCAGCAGTAAAGCTCATGAGAGCCTCAGTGCCCAGGGTGTTTATTCAGGACGGGTCACTCAGGTATCCACTGCCTGGCATGTACCCAAATTCCAGACTCCCAGAGGGAAAGCAGAAATTCAGCATAAAATAGATTGTTTATAAAAACAGCTGAGGCACAGTGAGCTACTCTTATCAGTTTCAGAGGGGGGAGTGGGAACCCCCCTGAAATCCAAGTTCCCAGACCCCAGTCCAGGGCTAACCTTGCAAGCAGGTCTTTCTAAGGGGCACGGTCTCGGGTCTGCTGGGTTAACTGTTTTCTGCACACTGGTAAACGTATTATACCCCAAACTTTGTCTCAGCATCTGCCAACCTGTGACAACAAGTTAACGAAAAATGGCTGCATATCATGGAAACATTAAATGTACTTTTAGGAGCTAGAAGACAACTAACCCATTCCTCATTCCTGTGGTCATTCACACAAGCTGAAGTCAACGTTAAATTTTCCTGACAGACCAACAAGACCAACCTGACCTTCCAGACAGTCAAAGCCAAGTTAGGTCAGACACAGGCGTTTCAGTCCAGTTATTGGGACATATGCCTCCCCTTTGAGGACGCGGCCTCTGTCCGTAGAGGCTGTGACGAGAGATCCAATTCTGTTCCCATACGCGAACGGCATCCTGATTCTTTGATTAGCACCAGAATGAAATGCAAGTTCCCCGGCTGTGCTGGAAATATCCCTCTGCATCCTGATTTATGTACCTACCCGATAAGAAGAAAAATCAATACACTGGATAAATATGAACAGCATCGCACAGAGGTTTCATTAAAATATTGATGGAAAGGGAGAAAAAAAAATCTGTGTCTAAAGAGAACACAGGGGCTACAGGATCAGCCATCTGTTTTCAAGGTCGCTCTTTCACAGAAGGCAATCACCCCTTCTGCAGCTTTAGGAAGAAAGGGGAGGTAGAGGGACTTGATGATATCTGATCACCAACAATATGCCAGTGCCCGGGCTAGGGGCCTGCAGTGGGTTGACCTGTAACCTCCAAAAAGATATGCTGAAGTCTTAAACCCTGGTACCTGTGAACGTGACCACATTCGGAAACAAGGTCTTTGCAGATGGAATCGAGTTAAGATGAGGTCACACTGGATTGGGCAGGGGGTCCTAAATCCAATGACTAGATCCTTATGAGGATAGGGCGATATGGACACAGACACACACAAAGATGGCCATGTGACCACGGGGGCAGAGGCTGGAGGGGCCACCAGAAGCGAGGAAGCAGCAGAGAGGATTCCTCTCTAGGGCCTTCGAAGGGAGCACAGCCCTGCAGACACATTGACTTCAGACTTCTAGCCTCTGGAACTGTAAAGCAATAAGTTTCTGTTGTTCTAAGCTCCGCAGTTTGTAATAATGTATTAAGATAGCCCCAGGAAACTAATAAAGTGTGTTACATGCTTTATGTCATTCAATCTTCAGCAATCCTGTGGGGGATGCATTTCCTCATTCTAAAGAGAGATAAAGGGAGGTACAAAGAGATTAATCAAAGTCTACAGCTAAAAAAATGACAGAGCTAGCGAGCTCTGTCTGACTCCGAAGTCTGTGTTCTTGTCACTAGATCATGCTCCTTACGGTCCAGGGAGCTGTGTGGTTTTCTAAAAACAATTTTAGTTCCACCCTCCCACACTGTGGTAGAAGTTACTTGTCTGATTGATGGATGTGAACCAGCAACAGAGATTGGGACAGAATTACAGGCAGGCAGGGTGACTGTACCATAACATGCAGAACGGACCTCTCTCTCTCCCTCTTTCTCTCTCTCTCTCTCTCCTCCATTCCTACTCACGAAGTAGAACGAGTCAGCTGAGTCAGGTCACCCCACTTCTCTTCCTCTTCTCACCTCCACCTTCTCCAAATCTCCGCCCGGAGATGTTGATCTGCATTGGCCAGTGACGTTTAGCAACACTGATACAGGAATCAGTGCTTGTATCCAGGAAGAGGGCACAGCCAGGACCAGCTCTGCAGATCCCGCCATCTGTCCCCCCTTCTCTCTTGCAATTCCTCCCTTCTGTTGCCAAGGGATACGCAAATCTAGGTAGAGATGGCCTTCTTGGGGCAGGCCCACTCAAAACTCTCACTTGCTTCCTTTCAACCTTCTTCATTTATCCATGTCGCTAAATTAAGCTCGGTCCTGCTCACCTGACCTGACCCAAATGCCTCTACTCTTCAACTCTGCCACTCCTTAAAGATGGCTAAGGAGGAGTAAGATCTGAAGATGTTGCTTTATGGGAAGGAGGAGGCGCCACAAAATCACTACCACCTTTATCGCCACCATCTTTGTCACCATGATCACCACCAC